TAAGAGGTATACTTACTCTTACTATAATTCTAGCACTTTAATATAATATTAATATTATTTAAACTACTAAGGTTAGTAGGTTAAAAAGTAAACTAACCTTAGCTAGCAACTAGTTATAGGCTTAAGTTACTCTTTATAAAACTATAGTTTCTTATCTTATTATTATTATAGCGCTATTTCTTTATTAGCCTACTAGCTAGCACACTATTAACTATAACCGACTACTTTTAGTTATTTATCTTTTCTTTTGTTTTTAGCCTTAAGACTAATACTCTTTATAAGCATTAGTAATCTTTATTACTATACTAAAAAAACTTACTAATACTTTTATTTTAATACTACTTTACTAAGTAGTTATTAAGCCTTTACTAATACCTTTAAGCAATCTTACTTATCTAGTTAAAGGTGTTATTAATCTTTTATTATAAGTAGTCTTATTTCTACTAGTATGCTATTAATAACTTACTACTTTACTAAAGCGTCTAGCTTTTTTTATAAATATAGTATATTTAGAATTAAAGGTTTAAGTATTCTTAATAAATAAACATAATAAAGTGCGTCTATATAAGGTATATAACTAAGGGTTTACTAGCGCAAAGTTAGTTATAATACTTTTACTAATTAGCTACTAGTATAGTAGTTAGCTAACTACTTACTTAAATAATCTTTATATCTTTTAACGCGTTACTATATACATTAGTATTATAAGCGTTCTTTATTATTACTAACTACTCTTTTATCTTTATAGCAAAGGCAATAATTTCTAGCCTCTTAATACTATATTATAGTAGCTTATTATTTATAGTAGCAACTACTAGGCAGTAGCCCTATAACCCTTATAGCTATAATGTTAGTTAATGCCTCTAGCGTCTATATAATATAAGTGTATTTATTGCTTTACAGCTACTTTTTAGCCGGCAAGGTGTTATTAAGCAGCACGTATACTAGTTTTATTTCTAACTTAACAAACAAGGTTAGAGTGCTTGCAAATGCTGCGCGCAAAGTGTGGCTGCCGTGCATTAGCGTAAAGGGTAGCATTAGCACGTCCTCGGCTTCTAACAGTTTACGTGCTAATCGCAGAGTGGCCGCCCTATAATCGGACATTGCTCCTTATAGAATAGAAGTTAAAGAATGTAAGGGTTAGTGTGCAATGCGTAGTTACAAAGGCTTAACTGGTTTGTACTATTGTATTAAAACTTTAACTTAACAAACTATAGGAGACTAGTAGGCAAAGGCCTGCCAGCTAATTTATACGTGGCTAAAAGATGCGGTATAGCGCAACCCTAGTAGGGCGTGGCATAACTAAGTGACTGTGCTAGTCCTGTGCAACGTGTTAAGATAGTTCGTTAAGTCTGTCGCTTAGTAAGCGACTAGTTGCCGAACCGGTGCGTAGGGACGCGTGTGTGGAATACCCTTACATCTTTTAAGATTGTATTAGCAGCGTTAACTATATATAGTCTTTGAAAATAAGCAAATTTAAGGTATTTAAAAGCTTAATATATATACAAATTGCCTTCTCTTTAGCTAGTAAAAGTTTTATATACGTTATAAGCTTACCTTTTATAAGGCTAACACCTTTTAAGCAACGCGCTAAAGTAAATCGGCTAATATTAAAATGCTTCGCAACGGCAGTAATTTTCGCTGTAGGATTCAAAAGGCAGCAATTCACTGCGTCTAACAATCTGCTCTCTAAATCAGGGCCCGATCCAGACATTTTTTCGTTGTTTTTCGACGCGACAAAGTTAGAGGGTGGTTTTCGTGGTAATACTGAGCTTTTGGCTGGTAAGTGCATTTGGCTGGTCAGCACCTATTTTAATAATAGGTGCACTTTTTAAGTGGGTCATGAATTATAGTGGGGCGTGGCACGATTAGTGAATCCCAGAATTTGACAGGCGATTATGTTAGTCACAAGCCACATGTATGTAAGATAGCAGGGCAATCTTCGCAAAACCTAAGAACCACTATAGCGTCACCAAAAATGTCGTCCTTCGCTGCTTTTCGTCGAGATAATGCCCCTTATAGCTCTTCTCCCTCGAATGATGTGCCCGCCGATGAGGGCAGTAGGCCCATCGTTGATGCCTCGACTTCGGAACAACTAAGTCCCTCCGCAGTCAAAGGACCAGCACACATAGGGCGGCAGGTTCCGTCCATATTAGACGAATCGAAAGTCCAACTTACCGAACATGGCAGGCCCTCGACAAGCAAACTGGCTGAGCTGCCCGAAGGCCTCCCAATTACCGCAACGCCGAAGGCCAACAGTCGGGGCATTGATGAAGGACCGTTTCCTTTGCCCGTAGAACCAGTCTATAATCTTCCCTCGCAAATCAAGCATCAGGAGCTGAAGTCGGAACACCCCGGAAAAACAAAAAACGGCGATCTGGTCACACACGGTAATGAGGGCATGAAGAGCGACCAGAGCCAACCCTTTGCAGACGTTCCATATCATAGCGTACGACAATATGGGCCAGCCACGGGTTCCCAAAGAAATATCTCGACACCTCCGACAAGTCGCGAAATATCTTCGAATCACAGCCAAACTTTGAAGGCTACAGCCCAGCGGAATTCTTACAACCCTTTGCCTCGACCCCCGCCTCTGTTACTAGATACCGTGGGACCTGTCCCCCCTTCGCCGTCTACGGGAGTCAACATACAGACGCAACATAATGCAGCGGCGTCTACGTACACTGAACCACGCTTACCATCCCCCATACCGCCCTCGATTCCCCTCCCGCCAATGTCTTTACCGACTGTGCTTCAACTAGAGTTAGCTGGACATCGACCCAACTCGTTGTATATCCATCATTCCTACTCGTCCGAAATTCCTTATGAATCCAGCGCTGTGAAATTTGAGAGACTAAAGAACTTTCTGCTCCTGCCTACATATCTTGAGAGGACCATAAATTTTGGCGCTCTTGCATGTTTGGATGCTTGGCTGTGGACGCTGACGATTCTACCATTAAGATTTCTCATTGCTTTGGGGGTGCTTGCGAGGTGGTGGGCCTATCTTATTGGTAAAGAGACGCGATGGGTCATCACATTTGTATGGGGAGGCCTTGGTCGGATGTGGCAGAGAGGCCGTAGTGGACAGCCACCTCGAAGGCCGACAACTGTGGAAGATGATGACTGCATTTCTGGTAAGGTTCCGTTAAAACTAGAGGCGACAACAACCTCCTGAGCTGCGGCATGCTGATGGTATCGCGTGATCTTTAGCTCGAAAACGAAACCAAGACCGCCAGCCGGATGTGACTTACAAGAAAGAGGACGCACCTGGCAATTTGCAATCGTCCGGATTGAGATGGGGACATCGCAGGACCAAATCGGTCCCATCCAATCTTACGTCATTTCACAAAGCAGATCTTCTCCAGGGCGCTGTGATCATCTTCAGCTGTATGGCTCTTATGAATCTCGATGCAAGTCGTATGTACCACTTCATTCGTGCGCAATCGGCAGTGAAGCTGTACGTCATTTACAACTTGATTGAGGTCGGTGATCGTCTTCTCTCAGCTCTGGGCCAAGACGTCTTCGAATGTTTGTTCAGCTCTGAAACATTGTCTCGTAATGCCTCCGGTCGCTCCAAGATTGGGCTACCGCTTGGCATGTTTTTGTTGTCGTTAGTGTATAACATCGCACATTCCATCGTTCTATTCTACCAGGTCATTACGCTCAATGTCGCTGTTAACTCTTATTCGAATGCGCTTCTGTCGCTGCTGATGTCAAACCAGTTTGTTGAAGTCAAGAGCAGTGTCTTCAAACGAACTGAAAAAGAAAACACTTTTCAGCTTGCTTGTGCGGACATCGTGGAACGGTTTCAACTATGGTTGGTTCTTTTTATTATTGCTTTACGTAACATCGTCGAGATTGGCGGCCTTTCTGTTCCTGGAGTGGGAGCTGAGTTCGACGATGTTACAACAAAGGTGCCACTCCACAACACATCAATATTACCGGCTAGCTTTACTATACTCCCATCCTGGATTGTATCTGGGGAGGTGCTATCCCCATTTCTAATTGTCATTGGGAGCGAGATGGTTGTCGACTGGATCAAGCACGCCTATATCAACAAGTTCAACAACATCAAGCCGAATTTTTATGGCCGGATCCTCGACATTCTTTGTAAGGACTATTACACGAATGTGAGCTCATCATTGACAGTCGACACGCCCGATTCTGTTCGAGGGAAAGCTAACAGTTACATGCCGTGGGTGCAGGCTTTCATTACACCCGCCTTAACACGCCGTATCGGTTTACCACTCATTCCATTGTGTACGCTCTTTATCCGGTCCTCTATCCAGACATACAACATGTTTCTCGCCACACATCTCCCATCACCTCTTCCACCCACAACACATACAGTGTTGAGCGTAGAATCAGCAACTTCATCAAGTCCGGCCATGATCGCATCTCTAGAGCGTTTAGACTCGGTAATTCGGAACGCTCTCGGTCGAGCTGTGTATGGTAATTCAGACATAGCCGGAAACGTCCCCACAATCTTACCGGGTCGGGGATGGTCAAGCGACGATATCATCGCAGCAGTGATGATGATTGTCGTGTTTTTTATCACATTTCTCATTCTTCTCATTGCAAAGCTGTTGTTAGGCATGGCACTTTTGCGATACTCCCACGGCCGGTATGTTTGCATGAAACATAGAGAACAGGCTGAAGCCGCTGGAATTTCAGAGATAGAATCGTTCGACTCCTCGGGTAAAAGAACAGGTGGCTATGGCAAAGTTGAAGTAGGGGAAGACAGAAGACGGTGGCTATTTCAGGACGACCTAACAGGTCTGAGGAAGTTACGAGACAGAGAGCGGAGAGATATTGTGAAGGGGAAGAAAGACACTGATATGAACACTATCACCCGTTATGAGATGATTGCTAAACGAATTTGGTAGTCACTTCTGTCAGATACATTGAGTGCAAACAACTACAGTGGGAACGAAACACTGGGTGACACTATCAAAATCATATATCGCTTGTTTGTTCCCGTATGAGCGAACCATTTGCAATCAAGAAGCATTTCCTCGAATTGATTGAAAATATGCCTTGATCAAGGGTTCTCTGACCTTTGCGTCAAGACAGATGTAACGGATATCCGTTGCTATTTGCCGTGGCAAGATATTTTCCTCCACACCCTCCACAGGTATGGTCTTGAGAAGCTTGGTGAAATCCAATTTCAGAGTCGCCGGCGGGAGTTTCAGGCGATTGACGTAGTCGCGGTACCATTTCTCTTTTTCCTTGTCCGATAGCGACAAATCCCGTATTTCTGCTTCTTTTCTGTATTTTCTTCTGAACTCTGGCCAGAATAGCCTTGGAGTTGCACACCTTTGCAGGAATGACAAATATGAAAGTAACGGGTCTGCCTTCTCCTCCTTGGCCTTTTGCTCTTTCAATCCCCTGATCTTCGTTCTTGACCAATCCTCCCACACCGTTTTTCGAGCTTTCATCGTTTCCAAAATAGTATAACGTGGGTCGTCAAAGAGCTTGCCTTCCTCGATTATCTTCTCCCAGGAGCTATATGGGTTGATGCCGAAATCGTCCAGTAATGACTTAAACACTGTTGGGGCGTCCTCGTGTTCCAGCTCAGTGATATTCCCCGCAGTCCCCCAGAGACTACCCATGCCAGACTCGTCCAAACCTTCAGCTGCAGCCTGGAGTTGAAAAGCGATATCATCTTCGTCGAATTCTTCTATCCTTTGTCGCTTCAAAGGGTTCTGGTAAACACCACGCTCATCACCGTCCCAGTCATCTGCCACTTCAACTTCTTCGTATTCTGAATCGCTATCGTCCAAGCTGGCGACAAGCTGACCCTGCATCGAAGACTCGCCAACGAGACCATAATTTCTGTCCGAATCACCAGTTGTAGAAATGGGGAGTCTGCCTCTCTGGCCCGTATGCTGGCATTCGTCGACGTTAAGATCGCTAGGCTCCGTATCATCTTCGGCCATTCTACATATTTGAGCTCTGTCCAAGTCCAAGATGGCGGTCTTTAATTTGTCCGGTATTCGCCAATAGCTCGTATTCTTTGTGGGGTTGAAAACAAATCGACGGCCAAGTTTTGTAGAAACGAGAATCCAAGGCTTATGCCCGGGTATTGCTACTTTTGCAACCGGCTTGTCAGTCGGTTGGTGTGACGTCTTATGCTGAGGACGAGACAGCCCAGCAGCAGCTGGAAGTGAGCCTCCCCCTCCGCGCGTTATAACCTTGGAATCTCGAGACACGAGGGCATTTTCCACCTTGGGGTTAGACAATTGAATATAAGGGGTTGGATTTTGCGAGTGTTGTTGCGATTTGGTATAAGCTGGGGCCTTGATAGTTGGGTTTGTCGGACGTCTGTACGTGGACTCCTTCGTTTCAGTGTTGTGAAAGTAGGTATGTCCAGTTGGTGCAGAGTGTTCTGTCCACCCTGGAGGCAGAGGTGGAAGGGCTGAACGTGAGTTAATATCGGCCATCGTTTTCTATCCAAGACGCTGTAAATCTACAGAATTCATCTCACCTACAGTACGATCGGGACGGAGAAGTTGACGGAGAAGTTGTCGAAAACTGGAGTCCCGGAGTATAATTAATCCATAAACCGAGCCACGTGATACCACGTTGTCGGGACTGTGCTATTAATAGTACTCCGTACGAAGTAAGACACGTACTCGTGCCACGCCCCTTAAAAGGATACACGAAAACGCGCACCACTACTCCTTTCTACTCCGTAGCTTAACACATTTATCCAAGGCTTTTGCCGTAATGTTAAGACGGATTGCCAACCGGTCTAGCTATGTAGCTTGCAGCGGATGCCGAAGGTAGGGACAACATTTGTCCTGTGAGTGGCGGCTTTCTATAATCTGATTGGCGCGGATTATGGTGGAAATACTTAATTCCTGTGTGGAAATACGTAGACAGTGGGGTAGTAATACCGTAGTGAGCTAAGTATAAAAAGTCTTCCAAGATATATCGATTGCATGCGTTGCTCTTACAATGGGCAGAATATAACAAAGTGCGTCTATTGAATAAATTTTACGAGGAAGGTGGGACAGGTGCCCTTTTAACAAAATGGATTCGGCACCGACAGACATACGGATTGCCATTGTAGGCGCTGGTATGTAAAAACTCTGAATTTTGAAGTAAGATCAACTTAACTAACTGCAACAGGAATGGGAGGATTAAGCACAGCTCTGGCATTGGCTAAGAAGGGACTGAAGAATATTGATGTTTTTGAAGCAGCTCCTGATCTTGGATTCGTTGGTGCTGGAATTCAGCTAGCACCCAATCTAGTTCGAATTTTGTCACGGCTTGGCTGCTGGGATCCTATCGAGGCTGCGGCAACAGAAGTGAAAGAAACCAGTATAAGAGGCACGTAGAAGTGCGACTTTGCCTTCAATTCTCGTTTGATTTACTGAATCATTGGCTAACACAATTGATTAGATGGCGCCACGGACCAGGAGCTTACTTACATTCAAATGCCCGATATCCGCACTATGTACGGATTTCCTCATTGCACTGGACATCGCGCATCATTGGCTGGCAGTCTATATGAGGCGTGCAAGAGAGAGCCGGTCATCAATTTCCACTTCGCCTACTCTTTCAAGAATATCGAGAGGTATTCGCCGACTGTCAAGTTTACGATTGTCTCCCGTGAGGGACGCTCTTCCACCATCGAGTGTGATGTCCTCTTAGCAGCAGATGGCATTAAATCACCAATACGCACTCAAATAATGACATGGATGGGCCATGAGGTCAGTGTGGAGGACACCGGTCAAGCAGCTTACCGAATCATGATTCCACGAGATGAGATGACATCAGATCCCGAAATGATGGAACTTATTGACAGTGATCGAATAACCCGCTGGATAGGGGAAAAGAGGCACTGGATTGCCTATCCCGTAGCTGAAAAAAGCATATACAACATGTCGTCAACGCAGCCGGATCTTCATTTTGCTGCAGAACCGACTGCTACCTACACGACAAAGGGTTCTAAACAGGCTATGATCGATACTTTCGACGACTTCTGTCCACTAGTCCATCGTCTCATGGATATGGTACCTGATGGCGAGGTATGTGAATGGAAACTTCGCTCTCATAAACCACTACCCACATGGGTGTGTGAGACGATTGCTCTTGTCGGAGACGCCTGCCATCCAACACTTCCCCATTTAAACCAGGGTGCAGCTATGGCCGTTGAAGATGCAGCAGTTCTCGCAGAAGTCCTTTCACGAGCACCTGATAAGAACCCTGCTACGATTCACCGTTGCCTTAGAATCTACGAGTTTTTGCGCAAAAAGAAAACAACGACTTTGGTAGACCTTGCCGCACTGTCTGGACGCACATTGCACTTGGGTGTAAGCAAGGAAAAAGAAGAACGCGATAAGTTGTTTGCAGAGTCCAAAGAGACAGGAAGGGATGTGCCGGATAAATGGGCTTCTCCGGATGTGCAGAAAATGATTTACTCACATGATTGTATGCAACTCGCAAGAGAAATGTTTCAGGGACTGTACGAATGCTTACCATGATTATTATGGTATTGAAGATTAGGTAACGCCAATAATTGAATCAATTCATAATACGCCTCCAAATTCGTCTAGATAGAATACACCGCTCACTTATATCTGCCTTCAATTTGGTGTTGCAACTCGTAGCCTGAATGTGTTTCCTTTGTCAATACTGGCTAACCTTCACACAAGTATAACCTGTCACATACTAGTGTCTACAAAGCATTCCCATAGATCCGCCCTCTTTGAAAGTCAGACTTAGTATGCAGTGATCTAGATAGTCCACAAAGGAGCTCAAAGCACAAGTCGGCTTCGCTCAAATCTCGAAAATATTTAAGCTGTCAGAAGACTAGGGCATGATCAGCTCTTTGACTGAACATTTTAACCGTTACCATAGGAAAATCGACAGATACTGATAATCCGTATTTATTTTACAAGTATTATGGCTATGCTATGAAAGCCTTTCAGCCTTACAAGTCTGTTCTTATAAGAGGTACTAATAAGTAAAGAATGTACTCAAGTAGCCTTCCATATCAGAACGCAACATTTAACGCTTTTTTTATATGTCTATACTATATGGAGTACTAAAGCAAACTAGAGGTATACCGAAAACATTACCTTGCGGTTTATTCTGTACTTACTGAAGAATCGTACTCCGTACTTTGAAGCTATTTGTTTCTTGATTGCAGCCTAATCCAGCAAGTTTCGACTTGTTTATCCATACTAGACTGAATGGGGTTCACTTGCACTGATTCGCAGCTTCAGTAAGGCGTGCGTTGTATCCTACGTGTTTGAAATGCTAATTAAAATACTTAAAAGTAGTACATACTCGTCTTAAGGTGGATACCCGGTGATTCTTTTAAGAAAGTAATTCGACATGCACAGCTACCGGTTTCTGCTAGATTACCTCCTTAATCATTCATTTACAACTAAGATAATCGCGAGAGTAAACCGTTCTATACAATAGTAGTATGCAAGCAGATATATTTATAAAAAGAAGTCTATTGCTTGCCGATCGTGATGCCATTTGGCAGTTCTAACCCGATGGGCAGACCGTTTATAAAACTGTTCGTAAAGAAACTGCCACGTGTTTTCGCAAGCGTTTCTTCGATATCCATGTACATGTTATACCTACAAAGTGCTTCTTGTCAATATGTCGAACTTCACACGAAACATGGGGACGACTTACGAATTCATCTCCTCAATTGTCAACTTGCTCCGCTCATCCTCGACTTTGTAAGTTTCGATGTCTTTATTATTTGAGAAACCTGGATAATTGCATTAGCTGAGAAGTTGGAGCTCCAAAGACACTGTCGAAAACCAACCTATTCTTTCGTTGATATTATAAGCTGCCCGCGCAGCAGCCGATTGCACTCGTGTAGCACGAGGCAGGCGTATAGACGTGTAAACAGAGAGGCTCTCGTCGATGTTACCCCGGAAGTGTTGTTTACCAAAGATGATTCCCAGAGCCGCTGCATCCTCAATAGCCATGCATGCACCCTGACTTTGATGTGGCATCATCTGATGCGCCAGTCAATCGTGTGCTAGTTGAGAAAATAATATTTAACAGAGGCTTTGCTTACCGGGTGGCCAGCATCGCCAAGTAGACAAACAGATTTCTTATGCATATATGGATAAGGTTGGCTGCCGTGTTAGCTTTGACTTGATGTGATTTAGTACGCCACAAGGCCGCGCATTACGTACTGAACCCAGAGGCGCCACGGCCGAATCTCCTTGCCAATAGTGAGGTGTGCCTTCACTTGGCTGTCAAGTTCAGGATAAGGTGCAAGGAGCTCCTCAAGAGGGAGGTCAGATCCACCCCAAGAGTGGGTGGTGTAATCACCCACGGCACGGGGGAAGAAGCAGTAATAGGAAAGAAGCTTGCCACCGTTGCAAGGTGAAAGAACAATCTTATCCCATTTCCCATCTTGGCCACCCCAATACTCAAGGGCCGAGTCTTGAGAGTAGTCAAAAAGGCCTAGTCGAACTGCGTCCTCGGTGGTGACATTAGCATGCAGACAGCTTTGATCAGACGGCTTCCGTTCAGGGTGAACGCCGATAAGGCTACGAACGACGGAGCCAATGCCATCAGCACCAACTATAACGTCATGTGTGGCCGTCACGCCATTATCGAATATGATGGTTCCAGTGGCCAAGTCAATGTCTTTGCACTGTAGCACTGTTAGTTTGATTACTCACGCTGAAAATGCTGATAGGATAAGGCATGGCGCACCGCATGGTTTAGCAAGAGCTCGATTGGTTTGCCCTTACCCTCCTGTTGAAGCGCAGTGTCTTTGAGCATTGTGTGCATATGGACACGGTGAAACATGTTGTAAACGTAACCCCACCGCTCCTTGTAGTCAGCTAGGTCGTAGACACTAACAGGTTCCCCAGTATACCAGTCGCGGTTGATGAGCTTTTTCAGTACAACCGGGTCGCCCTTGGCGACATCGACGTCCCACTCGTGTAGCCATCGAGTTCCATTAGCAGCACATGAAATGGAAGCGCCCGCCTCCCCTGCGAAGTCGTTGCGCTCATATACAACCACCTCATGGCCAGAGCGTCTCAATGCCACAGCAGCACACAAACCTCCTATGCCACCACCAATAACGCCAATTTGGAGCGGCCTCCAGACGCCCTTATCAATGGAACTCATCATCCTAACCGTTTTTGTACTTCAAGGCACAAAGGGCTTTGAAGAGAAAGGTAATTGGGTAGAGAAAACTTGGGGGGCTTGGTTGTCATTTGAACTTGAGGGGTCACAAAGAAAACGGGATAATATTCGAGACGTGGACGTCACTCTTTATATCGGAGCGAAAAATGGGAGCTATCCAGAGTGACACTAGAAATGGTATGACCCCTGTCTTAGAATATTAGCTAGGTGCAGTACCCGACACGCGGATATTGCACCCGCGATTTGGTCGGACAACGCACTCTCGATTACGTATGCAGCATTTCCAGAAAATCCCGTTATCAGTTTCTGTTCAGGTGCAGAGGCCATTACCACGCCCAAAAATCCATCAAATAGGACCGGGAAAAATTCACCGATTCTGCTTTACTGCCGGTAATACTCCGTAGGTAGAAGAAAATCGTCCCACTGTGATAGATCAAGGTGGTCCCAATTGAACATAATCTCTTCAGTTGGCTCCACGACTGTCCAGGGGCCAATGTTGGGCCCCGCATTCGGAGCCGGGGAGGTTGATTGCGATAACTGCACGTCAGGGTTCAATGATGCCGGCGAAACACCATAATCTGTTGCAACCGTTTTAGTAAGTACGGTACCCACCGAACCGGGCTTGTCCTGTGATGGGAAAAGGTCAGGACCTGTTGCATATATTTTGCTAACAAATCGGCTGCGGCCCGTTTGCGCTTGATGCCGACGCTGCTTTGTGATGGCTAATTGAAGAAGTCGCAGGATTTCGACATAGTGGCTGGCCTGAGGGCTTTGTACGGCAAGAAACTCAAGGTTGCGCCGGGCACCGGCAAAGGCAGTCTCAACTTCATAATCAATTCGCAGTTTGGAAAAGCTCTGTAGACCAAGAGTAAGTCCAGCAACAAAAACAAGAGCTCTGTACAACGTCAGGCTGACGAAAGTTTGGAGAAAACATCATAAGTCAAATAAGGTCCTTACTTTAATATGCACATGTTTCCCAGTAGACTTCCGGCATCCTGGGCGTCGACACAAGTTTGGACCAGGTAGGTTGATGCCTCAACACAAGCCCGGGCCATTTGTGTCCAGGCATCGCGGATGCCATCCAACTGGACGACGAGAGTGAGAATAAGAATTGGCCGTGTAACAAGCGTCACTGCGAAGTAGTAGAAACAGGAGGCATGGATTTTGCCAATGCTTTTGCTACTGGAGTTTGATGTTTTGCAGGTACTGCAGGTACCCTTGTCATCATTGGCACTGTTGTCTGGAAAATTAACGCCGTAGTCATGTTTCCAGGTCTCAATGGTGTCAAGGTACTGTTCAATGAACGCACCGGGAATTGTGTTGCGTCCGTAAAGATTGTCGACAATTTCGCTAATGATGCTGAGGATTTTGTACGAGGCCATCAGCACGCCCATCCCCGTGTCGGTGCCATCCATGTCTGTGGTCAATTGTTCGAGACTTTTATCCAAATCGGCCCGTAGCACAGCCGTAGCTGCGGGGCGTCCTAGGATGGCGCTGACCGTCATGTCTAGATTGCACAGACTGATCCAGATGCGAAGACGCAGGAGAAAACGGGGCAGCTTCATATCAGTATACGAGTCACGACTGTGCAGACCGAGGACAACAGCAGCGCGTACTGCGATGCCAATATACATAAAAGCAGCATTGCGCCGACAGCTCCCCAGCATGTAAAAGGCCATTAGGAGAAACGCACGGATCATGTCGACATTGGGATCCTCGAGCGTCTCTGACATAGCTAGATGCTGTGCGCGACGAAAAAACGGTCGTGCCACATTGATATCGCTCTCAGGAGAGGAGCATTGCGCCCCAATGGCTATGATTAGGTCGACCGTTGCTCGTTTGTATGAATTACGATACCGTGCGTCCGTAGCGTGAGACCCGACCAAGAGGCCCTCGATTTCGGACGGTGCGAAGAGGCCCATGAGCCCATCGAGCTATGTGTTATGTCAGCAGCCGAGGACTAAAGCGTTGTCCTGAAATTTTCCCTACCGATGCATTAAAAGTGTTTGCGTATGAAAGCTTCTGGTCTACGTCTAATGAGACATCAAGTGCCGAGATCGACGGTTCAGCCGTTACAGGCGATGTTGTCTCTAACATGGTCTGTACTTTCCCGTTATGGGAGAACTCAGATGGGCCGATGTGTTCGGACACAATCTCACGGGCTAGTTGTAGAAACGACAATGATGCCGCTTGGCCGATGTAAACTAGGCGTGTAAGCAGGTAGGTCAGGCCCAAAATGTAATATACGGATGGCACGTAATCGGCCGAGATATACTTTACCCTGTTCACCACGCAGGTCAAAAAGAAACCTCGAACGGGTCAGAGTCTCGGGGTCAGAAGACGAGTACGAGAACAGCTTCGTACGTGGTGTTGCGCTATCCACGGTGATGTGCTTTTCCGCTTTATCCGGAGGTATGGCAAAATCAGTCGAAAATGTCGCTGTGACGGGCGTAGAGGTCGACAGTTTGCTGCAGTGAATGTCCAACCGCTTGGCATTACAGCCAAGATCCTGCAACGAGTGCGTCGAGCCCGCTGACTCCGGCGTCAGAGCCGGAGAGCCATGAGTCACTTTGGGGGCCAGAAATATGCTGCTGGAGCGCGTGCTTTTGAAAACAGGCACATCTTTAGTCGAGGCCAAAGACACCGCCGAGCCAAAAGGAAGAAGGGAGACAGGGCCCGAGATAGAGCAGGACGCAGCCATACCACGACGCTGGCAGTGTACGCAGGGCATAGTCGAACTGCATTTTTTCTTGGTAGTCCGACAATAGCTGCATGCGACGGCGGCGCGGCGGCGCTCGCGGTCAGACACTCTCGGGCGACCCATGCAACCAAAATCCGCAGCCTGTTGTATAAGACAAGAGTTATAAACGTTCAGATGCTGCAGATGCATTGACACGAGTTGGCGAGTGGCGACGACAGCATTATTCCGCTCATTAACTCCAGCCATTAAAATCTGCGCTATCGGCAAGTCAAACCTATGTGAAATTTTGGCCCGTGCACCTAGCAAAACTCCTTTAGGCAATACGGAGTAGGATAACCAAATTTACCCCTTTACTCCACTAAGGCGAGACAAAGGCAAGCCGACATTATTCCGTCGTCTGCATATGCATCTATGTACAAAATAGAAATAAAAAAGATCTCTGAAACAAAAACAAGTCGTCGTACATCTCAGATCGGTCTCTTACACATTCAAACTAAAGGTGTAAGAAACACGCTTCATATTTTATCACAGAGATACTTTGTACGTCACGTCGTAATAAAACCGAAGAAATGAAACATGCTCGCCGACTAGATACTGGCCCCATATGTCTAGCCATGTTGGGCTTGCACGCCATTCGGCCGTTAAGGACCGTGCTGCGCCTCGTATCTTACATCTTTTTAGGCTTATAGGCTGTGCTTTCTGCTGCTCCTGCTCACTGTTTCTGTACGAGTATTTCGAACAAGGTCAAAACAAAACGCCCCCTTGTTACACCCCCCTTGATCTACGGAGTACATAGGTTGCTTTCCATTGTATCCCTTTGAGATGATCTAACCGCTTGCCAATTAGTGTTCCAGACAAGGTGCTCCAGTCTAGACACAGCTCCGATACGTTGTTTTATATAAACCACCGATCTTTAAACAATTTTTTGGCATGCCAGAACGATGCACACGGTCGCAACAGGAGCCTCTCCTAGAGAGCGCAAATGCTACGGAGATGGATATAGATATCGAGACTCTCCGCTCCTGGAGGCACGTCTCCTCTAATCTGCATGGGCACACCGCTTCAGCAAGAGCGAACAGCGAGTCAAGCATCAGCGAAAAACAGCAAATTGGCGGCCGGACTGTGTCATTGCTTCATCCTCGCACCTGGACGCGGAAGAGCATATTTATCGCTGCGGTCGTATTGGCTCTTATCTGCATTGTACCAGGTAGGATATGGTTGTCCCTTTTCTTATTTGTCTCGCTAACTCTATAGCTATTGCTGTTCCTATGGCCCTATACATTAATGCGAGTACTGCTACGCCGAGTGCTCCGCTAGCTAACGGCACCGCGCTACGTGTAATGCCGTTGGGTGCGTCTATCACATTTGGCTACCTGTCAAGCGACGGCAATGGTTACCGCCAGACACTGCGCAGGGCGCTAACCCACCGGGGTAACGCCATTAACATGGTTGGCAGCCGCCAAAACGGTACCATGGACGACAATGATGTCGAGGGATGGCCCGGTCTGCGCATTGAGCAAGTCCACGCCAAAGCCGACCTATCCGTGCCGACCCTAAAGCCTAATGTTGTTCTTGTCAATGTTGGCACTAACGACTGCTTGCAAAACTTTAACATTTCTAGTGCTGGAGACCGCATGAACGCCCTTATTACCGATGTGCTGGCCATGTCACCGCGGGCGGCCTTTGTCCTCAGCACTCTCATTATCAACGCCGACGTCGACGTTGATGCGCGTGCACAAACCGTCAACGCTGCCTTTCGAACCCTAGTAACCAGTCTTCAGTCTGTCGGTGTTCCCATTGTACTGGCCGAGATGCGCGGAGACAATGGTCTACAGCTTAACGAGATGGCTGATCAGACACACCCTAATGACGAGGGCTACTCTAAGATGAGCACTATCTTCGTCGCAGCTATAGAAGATCTTAGCAATCGGGGCTCTATCCAGACGTCGGAGGACAATGGGTTGCCAGATGCTGGAGTTGCCGCACAGTAGACTGCTTAGGAGAGACTACGTCTTGTGCTTTTTCTTGGTGTTGTCAGCATGCAAGGCGTTAAAAAAGCATGGGTACTTGTTTGCAAACTCTAATGCATTACAGAGTAAGCTCTTTTTACTTTAAAAAAATACTATGTAATAATAACGTTACGATCACAGAAGTTCATCCAAATGGGGAGTAGTAATATGTTTAAGTATATTTAAGTACGAAGTAATTGTACTCTATATAAAATCAACCAAAGGAAAGAACTACGCGGTTAGACGCGCACTCTATTCTTTAGACACTATCCTACTCGTACTTCCGTAAAGTCTCCATGCTAGCCTCCATGTCGCGAAAACTAACCGCCTTATGTTCTGGGCTACGCAACCTAAAGTCGACCTTAAACGGCTTGAGCACTGCAATCAAGCCCTCGTTATAGGCCTCTAGATTGGGAGCTACTAAGGCGCCCGTCACAGGATCGATAAGCAGCGTAGTATCATAGGCCCAAAGAAGTTTGGCGATGATGCGAAACTGTGTGCGCTCTGCCATGTGTATGCCGGTACAGATTCGGCGACCGGCACCGTAGCCGTAGTAGTCGCGGTTATTTACAGGTTATAGATACTATATCTAAAATAAACTAAATAAAGTAAGCTTTACTCTTTTTTACCTTAAATTTTAAGATAATTATAATAGTTATACTAGTAGCGTTAAAAAGATAAACTATATAAATAACGTTTACTAAGCGTTACTATACTAAGGTTAATAAGTATTTAGCTATATAAAATATAAAAGATATTAAAAAAAAAACATAAAAATAGCTAATAGTTAAACTTAATTTAAGATATATTTAAAAATAGATTACTCTGTTTTTTAAATATATACTGCAAGCAAAGGTAGGGTAAGGCCTTAGCTTAAACTAACAACAACACATACACCTATTAACGTATATAACTATGCACAAAAAGAGGTGCTATAAAGCACCTCCCTTCGTTAAGAGGTAGGGGCAGCTAATAGCTAGTTTAAAAGAGAGAGGGAGGAAAGCAATGCAGGCTTACCTTATAATCCTAAAAGAGATAATAAGATAAGCTTTCTTAGTAAAGTCTTAGGTATAGTCTATGCTTTATAAGTATACTATGCGTATATCTTTATAACTAATTAATTCTATATATGCGTGCGTACCTCTTTCTTTCTTTTAAAGAGGGAAGAAGAGAAGGTTTTTATATATATAAAGTATATAAGTAATAATAGAAGGTATAAATTGTTTTATATTTAATTAGTTAGGCAAAGTAAAGTTAGTTATATAACAATATAGCATTTATAAAGGGCCTTAACTTATTATTCTATACAGCTAGAATAGGCGTTCTTAAGGGTACACTTCTCTTATTACTTAGTAGCTGCCTATATTAACAACGTAATTATCTATTTAAATAGCTTTAAAGAGAATGTAAGGGTATTCTACGCACTTGCCCTACACACCGGTTCGGCAACCTACTACTTACTAAGCGCTAGACTTAACGAACTATCTTAACACATAAACAGGGCAGAGCACAGCCACTTTGCTATGCTATACCTACTTAGGGTTACGCTATTACGCACCTTTTATTTACGTATAAATTAAACAGCAGGCTTTTGCCTACTAGTCTTTTATAGTTTATTAAGTTAAAGTTTTAATATAATAGTATAGATACGTTTTAAGCCTTTATAACTATATATTATATATAAACTTTTATATTCTTTAACTTTTATTTTATATAGAGTAATGTTTAATTATAAGGCGGCTATATTATAAAAGGTATATAAACTTTTAATAGTAAAAAACTTACTAATACTACTTTTTACGCTAATATATAGTAGCTATACCTTATTGTTAAAGGTGTACTTAGGTAGGCCAGGTAAGTCAGGCAGGCAAGGAGGTATCTTCTTAACAGGAGGAAGCAGCCGTATATTCAATAGCTAATTCTTGCCTCCTACACTCTAAGGGAGTGCGGGAGGCGCTCTTTATCGTAGGCGCACCTCTGGCGCACCAAGTGCGCAGGGCAGGCGCGACCCCGTTTCTACTTGGCCCGTGCGCTAGCACGTGCTGTGG